TTTTTATAATAAACAGACCGAACCAGTTATTTTTAGTTCAGTTCGGTTTAATAATTCGGTTGTCGGGTATAAAATTCCACCCATAGTCGACATGGACCCTTTCTCAACCATTTGACCTATTTGACTTAGCACCAGTTCAGTCTATCCCAAATATGGCTATATCAGTCCTGTTGGGGGTAAAGCTAGAGCAAACTCGCTGAGATCAAATCCCAACATCCGATAAGTAACTTCTAGATTTTTCTAAAAAATTCTAGTTACCGCGATACAATCGTAGACTCGTAATGCCATTGATATGTTAACCTCAATGTTTCTTCCAAAACTGCTCTTGTATTCTAGTAAAATACTTAAGCTTATTGAACGTCACTTAAACTTACGTAGCCTCTGATAGAATGATAGACATGCAGGGAGATGAAGGATCTTTTTACTTAATGCCTCTAGAAGGTTGCAGGTACCCCAAATATTGGCCATTGACATTGAAAGAGAAATAAGTGGACTTAACACAAGCCATTAACCAATTTACAAAAGTAGGACAAAACCCCATAATCCTAAAAGTTTACCTAAAAAGGACCACCCAACTCTATCATATGCCTTAGCCATATCAAGTTTAACTGCCATGTAACACGTTTTTCCTTATTCTTTTACTGTTTAAGAATGAATGCACTCATTAGCTATTATGACATTTTCCAGAGTTTGCCTCCCAGGAAAAGAAGCAGATTGGGAGGCAGAAATACAAGAGCTTAACACAGTTTTCAGCCTATTAGCTGGAATTTTGGCTATGATTTTATAAGATGTTGTACACATGGCAATAGGTCTATAATCATAAACAAACAATGGATTAGGCTTTTTAAAAATTAGAGAAATGACATTATGGCTAACCTATTTAGGCATCATACCACTCTGAAAAAAGTTAGAAATAGCATCAAGAAGGCGGTTCTTAAGAGTATCCCAAGAGCTATGGAAGAAATAAGTGGTCGTGCCATCAATGCATGGGGCTTTGCAAGAATCCATCTTCATAAGAGCCTTCCTAACATCCTTCTCATCTACCTCCCTCATCAAATCTAATTTCATCCCCTCAGTAATGGACACATGGATTCCATCTGAAGGACATCTATCCACAACATGATTAGAGTATTGGAACAAGTTTCCAAAATAGTTCAACAACTCAGTCACGATTTTCTAGTCAGTTCTACATCTAGTACCATCAGTCCTAACAATATTTTCAATATTATTCATTGTTCTTCTTTGCCTAACAGACGTCTGAAAGTACATAGTGTTTTTACCTTCTTCTCGTATCCATTGAGGTACCCTTTTAGTCACACGAAGAAAATTGAAATGATTAGAAAACTGCACCATACAACTCATTCAATCTCCCTCCCACCTTAAAACATAGATGGAACTTTTGGAGGGATGGGAAAAAACAAATTCAAATCTAAAAACTCTATTCTCAAGTCACACAATGAAATTGATTAATAGAAAAGGAGAACACATACAATTAAATTGATTAATAATAAAAAAAAGGAGAATCACATTATAGAAGTTAATAGTTATACACACATATACGATTAATTGGAATTCAAAATTTATAATTGAAAACAAGAAATTGAGAGGATAATATTAAGGAAATAAAATTGCTTATCAACAATAATGGGGTCATTTATCTTCAACAAGAAAAAAATTGACTCTTCCTAGCAAAGCTGAAAGAAAAATCCCCCTCCCCCCCCCC